TTGGCACCTTTTGAGACCGCTCATCAAGCATCACATGTTGCAAATTGTTCATATATTTTATGCTTCACCAAAACTTCACAGGTTTTAGAGACGTGACCCTTGATTTATAGGTATTGAGTTTGAATTTGCTGTTATCCTACCGTTTCGTTCGCTAGAAGTCGTTCTGAAGCGTTCTGAAGATAATTTAAAATCCAATTTCGCATTGCGAACTTCTCAATACTGTCGTTTGAAAAAAAGTTATAAAGGATAAAGGATAAAGCCCTCTGCGTTGATCAATCCCTGAGGGATTCATCATGCATTCGACTTCATTAAGCATCGTTTGGAGGTAACTGAATGCATAACTTGCCTTCACAATAACTCGAGGTGGCGTACCGACGTATCGAGCCGCGCTGCTATCCTTCCAGGCAAGTCTGGTGCCAATTTGCCGACCCCCGAAGGGGATGGAAGGCTTGGTAAGCCATGGGCGCGGGGATTGATCCCACGTCTGTGTGTGTGCATGTCTGTGTATGTGCGTGTGTGTGTATGTGTGTATGTATGTGTATGTGTATACATGTGTGTATGTGTGTGTATGTGCGTATGCGCGTGTATGTGTGTATGTGTATGTGTATGTGTGTACATCTGTGCAGTGTGTGTATGTACGTGTATGTGTGTATGTTGTATGTATGTGTATATGTGTATGTGTGTGTATATCTGTGTATGCGTGTGTATGTGTGTGTATATCTGTGTACGTGTGTATTTGAGGGCTCCTCCAACCACTGCGCCACACGCGCCCACAGTTGCACGAATGACTAGTGAATTTCAGATTAGAGGCCACATTTTATGCGAACTCTCTTTGGAATTTCCTCAAAAATTTTTGCCAGCAGTATCCGGTAGGAGATCTATCTTTAATCTGTCTTTTATATATTGTTTCATGTGAAATCGCTTCTGATTTGCTAGTAATTCCCGCAGCTTCTTTGAGCAAGTGGGAGACATCATAATGCATTGTATCCTCAAATATTGAAGCCTTCCCAATTGCACATCACTGACGAAATTCAGACCAAATTATGACGTATTAAGCGTCCTGCAATGGTGCTCGGCTTCTTGCTATTCTTGTACTTCTTCATTCATCAACTGGACTTCACGATAGCGCATATACTCGAGTGTATCATCCGCTTCGTCTACCCATTCAGTCATTACATAGCAGTAACCAACGAACAATTCTTCGCCAGACTCTCACGTATGGCAACTAGAAGCGATGAAATGATGGAGGTAAGTCAGGCTACAAATATATTCATAAGCTGAAAGTACTCGGAAAAAAGTAGCAATGTTTCCACAACTGCACTTATGTGGGCGAATATCAGTGATTGTCCGTCGAAAAAATTCTCCGACTCCCGTTTCACCTGCTCTGGACATGATTAATACGAAGCTAACCTAAGATGCAATGTTGAGCTATTTCACTCAGGGACTTCGTTACTATTCCATTTCAAATTCTAATCATTCAACAGTAACATTTTCAATGTGTGAACTGCCCCGAAAATGATAGCTATGTGACCAGAAGCAACGATAGAAAACGCCTACTTCAAATCAGTTCTGTTGGTCACTTTCAAATTTCTGGATTCTAAATCGTAAGACCGTGTTGTCGCGTTATTTGGAAGGAGTCACAGTTTACTTTATACGACTTTAGATTTTTCATACAATGATTTCGGGTTTCCGTCAAGAAAACTGCTGGAAATTCAGCAGTGCATCCTCCCGCAAATCTTCACTTAAAACCTTTCGTAGTCATCTCCTCTAACTATGTGAAATCTAATGCCTACTTCAACATCCGTTGGTGTTCAGGCGGTCTACTGCGATTTCGCGCTATTATGGTGCCAGAGATTCGGATTGATGTGCGAGGTTCAATGCTCGTTCGTGGAGCAGTCTTTGCAGCGAATCCGAAAACATCCACACTGAAAGATGCTTGCAGAAACCTTGAGCTTCAGACAAATAACTTCTTGGGGAATACTTTACAGAACATATCAGTCAATATTCTATCTCTACTCATCACTTCCGTTACTCGTCATCTTCTTGCATCCTACTATATTTTTTCGCCCTCACATTTTTCTGCAATTGTAGTTGAATGATGATTTCTAACGTCATTATTTTCATCTTAGCGAAGTAACAAGCTGAATGAATATCATACTTTGAAATGTGCTTTATTTTTACGGAATAAACACACACACGCGCACGCACACACACATACACACACATATACACACATACACGCATACACACAAATACACACACATACACACACACACAAACACGCATACATACACACACACACACACACACACACACAGATTTATCTTCTTTTAACCCTTTTACGACCATGTGTCGCTGGAGCAGTCTGGCCCATCGGACGGCGTGTCACCTAGATGCAACAGAAGGGCGCATCGAAATGAAGATGTACGGTCCATAGACCCGCAGATCGTCGTTTTATTGTTAGTCCCCTCATGTTTTTCCCCATGTCTCCCTAAATTCTACATATTCGCTATGTTCGTCTGTGTATATTCCATTGTTCTTGGACACCTCTTGTTTGTGATCCATTTCTTGTGTGATGAAAAAAAGATTGTCCATTGTCAAACTATGATGTTACTAGTTTTCCCCATGGTTTTGTGTGATAGTTGAAGTGCATTTCTGTGTCTACTTCATGTTTTTGTTGTCCACCGATTCCAATTGACTAACCGAAACGGTCTTTGCAAGTACACCAGAGAGTTCCTATTCACCGGGTCAGTCCAAGCATTAAGTTTGTGTTTGACAAACCATCGATGGACTACAAAGGGTCCTGAGAGTGTTTCGTGATCAAAACGTCATGTATCTACGTGAAAATTTTAAAATAAAAGCAGATATTGTCAACCTTGTAAACTAAACAGTTACAATACAAAAGTTAGACCCTTTCACCTATCCTGACCATTTTCTCGTCGTTGCTCCATGCGCATAGAAATCAAGATGTATGGTCGTGAAAGTGTTAAGAAGTCTACCAGCTTCTGAATTGTCAAGCGTATACGTTTGTTTCTTCTTCATATTACATGTGAAGCTTGGGAATGATCTGCATTGCGGAGTTATTTAACATGTTCATATTAAGCGCTGTAACATCGAAGGACTCTAGCATTTGTGCGCAAGATATCACCTGCCACCATTTTTACCCTCCCATAAGAATCATGCATCAATTTGGCTTCGTAGAGATGGAGTACTTAAATAGCATGGCGTGCAAGGTTGAACCAACGAACACGTGTGTCTTACAGGGCACCTCGGGGAACTGTTAACCATTGCGTCCCTCTATTGATCATTTGTTGTCCACGTCTTTACACAGCCAGCATATATATATATATATATATATATATATATATATATATATATATGTTACATTACATGTGTACTTAGATAAATTATGGACCAGTTCTGTTGAGCTTAGTATCCAGATTTTTACAGGCTCGAGAAGTTGGACTCAATCCAGAAAATCCGATAAAGTATTATTTGTAAAGAGTCTGTGGAGTCAACGGATTAATATTATTCGGGCACATTTCTTGGCAGAAACTCCGACATCTTCTACCTAACTGGGATTGTATTTTGAAAAATGTTTTCTTATAGGTTGTTAGAAATGTATGTACTTTGTGACTTCCAGCTTCAAACATGCTCGCCGTGATGCGTACCCCGAAGCTGCTCAAATTTCATGACTTCCATTCCAATTCTAAACTTCGACGCTGGCAAGGTCGTAGTGGTATGGGTAAAGTAGTTTTTCCAAAATTCAAATTGTTCGCAGGAGGTGTTAATTCCATTTTCCTCCAACAGAGCAGTGAAAAATTATAATACTAGAGATACTAAAGACAACTCCGTAGGCGGTTTCTTACATTCAATTAATACGGAAGTTTGCTCTGTTCTCCGAAAGTTTATCACTAGTGTTCAAACTTCTGCGAAGTGCAAAGTGGTAGGAATTGCTCGGTCCACGTTATGAGCGACGAATCGCTTTGTAACAAAGCTTACACCATTGCGAAAGACATGCCGTAGAAGGATCTTCTCTTAGACGAGGCCACCACCAAGTTAGTATGCTGGGATCGCTTCCTGTTGGTCTCTTGAGGAACAACTTGTTACGTGGCGTAACAATGAAGCTCAAGATGAGATCTGTGACTGGCGAGAATGCTCCAGCATAGCCAATTCAGAGTAAAAAATTGTCTCACGTTCTTGGTCTTTTACGAAGGGAATTCCGAGAACTACTTAACAACTGCGCTTCTGCTAATAGGCAAAGCGATTCCTGTACAAGAGTGAAACCTAATGAGCTTCTGGAAATGAATAACTCACACACAACTTGTTAAATTCACGGTATCATTAACCTTCAGCTGTACAAACCATACTACACAACAGAACGCTGCCTCTTTTCCAATTTCTAACACAGATATTCTACCTTGCCGACTACAAGCAATTTGTTTTCGTATTCCCACTTTTGGTGAATTCGGAAAAGAAAGTACTAGTGTCACTGATACAGCCTCAAGTGCACATGTAGCGGAGTTGTCAGAGGCGCCCTGCAACACATTTGGGATCGCTCCCCGTGCACCAGACCCACCAAGCCAATCCAACCCTGCAGAGTCGGCAAACTGATACCAGATTAGTCTGGGAGGATAGCACACTGGCTCGATACATAGGTAGGCCACCATAAGTCATTGTAAAGGCCAGATATCCATTCAGTGGCCTCCAACGATGCTTAATGAAGTCGAATGCATGGCACGTCCCTCAGAGATAGATCAACGCCGACAGCTTTGGCCTTTTATCTTTTTATAACTGCAAAACCTATAGAACACATCCTCTTCAAACTAAAAAAACCTAAGAAATTACAGAGCTAACAAATATGTCACAAAATGCAGAACTATCTATAGAATTCTAATTGATAGTAAACATAAGAGATCAACAAATCCTTATATCTACAATTAACAAACGGCAAACAATTAAATATGAACAAAACAAATACTGAGAAATGGTTGAACTATCTATTTCATAGGAATCCTTCCAGAAAACTCTCTTTCGTCAACGAACTTCTTAACCATTTTAAAGACAGTCGAGCCCGCAACCTCTTCTGGCGGCTCCTTTTTTCCACACATAAAGTAGTACAAGTCCCACTCCATGTGTTCACCATTTATAAGCTAGAAAAAGAACACTAGATATACAATAAATAGCGTAGAGTCTAACCTATCTAAAAGCTACACACTATTGATTGCATGTACGAAAGTATGGGTCAATACACCTACTTACTTGGACACTTGGACGACCCGCTCCCACCAGTAGTGCGGGCTCCAGCATAATTTCCATTGTTTCGGAGTTTTTCTGGTTTAGCCACTGCGGTTTCCTGGAGTCCTGAGGTAAGCCTGGGCAAAGTCTGCCTTAGGTTGTCACTACCACAGGCAGTCGCCGCCGTTGTGGATCGAAGGGTGATTTGCCATCATGCGACTAGTTTGGTACTAGGACAATGGTGGATTCTGATATTGGTTTACCCTTAGCTAGGTTTCCTGATGTAAACGCCGGACTCTTTCTTAGCTTGGGAGACCCTGCCATGGGTACGTTCCCCCCTGTACATCGCAGCCCGACACACAGGAACACCTCCTAGCCACGATGAGGCGGTGAACCACTTGGAGGTAGGTTGATGTAAACAAGTGATTTTTTCGTGTTACAACCTTAAAATGGTAAAGTGAAGATATAAATCACCAAAACTAACAAATCGAAATATGGACAGTACTTTATGTGTAACCAGAAAACAACTGAATTGGCTTACCTTGTCATAAGAAAGTAAATCCTCCCGTTCCATTGTTGGTAGATGTTTCTCAGCAAACTCTCCAAGAATGATATCGTTCTCTAAGATCCCCCGCTTTCTGCTTTGGTACAGCAATCGGGATCTAGAACACAGGATCCTATTCCGAAGCATTTGAAGAAGCAACGCGACAATATTTCTAAAAATTCAGAGACAGCAACAAAACTTCCAAAAAAATTACATTCCAGAAAATATGAACGATTTCAGATTCAGTGGGTTCAGTTGCAAGTTGTGCTCCCAAGAACAATCCCGTTAACGGGTGACTGCTGATGGCACTGGTAGATAGAAAGCTAGCTGAGAGACAGGCGAAACGAAAGACTCGCATAGTGTGGTGGTGAATGTGTTAGCCCTCAGAAAGGGTAACAGCATGTTCGTTCCCCACCGCAGACATCTGCGGTTCGGAGTTTTGCGAATTAGGCAGCAAATAAAAATGTTAATATTGTCATTCCAGAAGATGCTACGAGACATTGAGAAACAGAATCTCTGGAATAATTAGCACTAATGGCGACAAAACATTGGCCGATGACCAGTTGAAACAATGAAAGAATCCATGTTCATTCACAAAAAAAGAAAGCCACTAATCGCATTAGGACACTTTTGATCTTTCAGCTTACCTTTCTTCGAAAACGAACAAAAACAAAAACGAAAGAACAAAAAAAGAACGAAAACATCAACCAACCGCATCACATCCAGTTCTTCATCTCTTGATGTTGTTGATGTCGCTGGGATCGAGAAGGATGCTCGAGACAAGAATGGACGAGACCAAGTACGTCCTAGGCAGAGCGCTGCAGAAGCGGAAAAACGAATCATATCCTGAAGGATCACGAATCAACAGCAAGAGCTTCTGATAACCTGCGCACGAAATGATGATTAACTACAGGAGTAGTAAATAGTAAAGGACTACTCGGATACTTGGATGGCCCGTCTTCACTGGTTGTGTGGTGCCTAGCATAATTTAAAAGAGTACGGTTACGTATAGTAATGAACTAACCATTCTTTGCCAGTAAGTGAACATATACCATCACATACTGCTACTTACCGCTACCACTTAATTGTAAAACTCGTTAGAAACTTTCTCACACTAATTCTCTATGGTGCTAAGGCCTAATTCTACCACAGATTCCTAAGATCCAAATCACTAGGACTTGAAACCTTTGTTTTAAAATACAATTATAAAAGGCCTCCCAACGGGTTGCCACCTCATCGTAGTTGGTAGGTATTCCTGTGTGTCAGGCTAAGATGTACGGCGGAGTAATCAGCCCTATCACGAGGAAGAGTCCCACGTCTCCACCAGGAAGCCCAGCTAAGAGCAAACCTATATCAGTATCCACCAACATCCTGGTATCAAGCTAGCCGCATGGTGACAAATCACTCGTTGATCCACAATCGTTGTGATTGCCTTACCTCTGGTTGTGACGACCTGAGGGAGACTTTCGCCAGGCTGTCTTTCCGGACTCCGAGGAACTACAATGGCTAAATCAGCAGAACTCCGAAAAATGGAGAATATGCTGAGGCCCACACAACTAATGGGGATGGGTCGTCCATGTATCCAAGTAAGCAAGATTTAAGGTTATAGCCTATTCTAGTCGCTAGCGTAAATAACCTAGCACGAAAACATGACTCAATACCATCAAAACACAGTAGAAACAAAAACTAATAACTAAAAACCAAAGTGAAGAAAATTAAACAAAGCAAAACAGGAAGAAAAAGAAAACGTGCCAAAACGAAATTAGTTTCCAATTATGGGACGGAAACCACGGACACTCACATCGATGCAGATCGTACGAGGATAGCACTTCACTTACAGATTGGACTCTTTCACATACGTGAAACACTAAGCAAAAGGACGTTGAATGCACAGACAAACGCTAAGATGTGGGCGGGCCGACAGAGCGACTGCGGCCAAGCGCGCCGAGCGCACTGCGACGACGTTGGCGCGCTTGGCTCACGGAGGACCGCTTGTCCGTGATTTCCTTTCCTCATTTCTGTTTAGTGTACTGGCTTGCTGGTTTCTTTAGTCCTTTTTGACTTGAACAACAGTAAAACACCGCCGTATCGTTCTTCCATAGTGATAAAAGTGAAGAGTTGTCGAGAATTATAAAAAGCGTATCTGCGCACTTACTTGGATAGCTCGTCTTCACTGGTTGTTCTTGCCCCCATCATAATTTCACCTCTTTCGGAGTTTTGCTTGTTAAGCCATTGTGATTCTCCGGAGTCCCGAGGTCAGCCTGGCGAAAATCTTCCCAGGCCGTCACCACCACGAGCATTCGCAGCCCTTGTGGATCAGAGAGAGATTTGCCACTATGCAACTAGTTTAATACCAGGGCGGCGGTGGATCCTGGTTTTGGTTTACTCTTAGCTGAGCTTTCTGATAGATTGTGCGCTCTACTCACGATATTGATTCCCATTGCGAAATTAGGATTAAACTCCTATGCGACTATTGGAAATCGGAGACTAGTCAACCACAAACTAGTAGTTCCCTTAGTTCCTCAGTCGCTCTGTGGCTTGGAAATTCGAGTCCTCACCACTGCTATGCCGTTAGTGTAAACTCCTTTTAGAAAGTAGAAAACGTTCATCGTTGATCCCAACTCTTTGTCTGCAAAAGTCGATTTAACAAATTCAGTAATTTACGAAACCGTGAATTCTTCGCTGCCAGGGTTACTGTTGATTCTACGGCGGTTGCAAAAACGGTCAGATTCGTCCCCTACCTGAACACGGACGATGGTGGTTTTTCGACAATAATGGATAAATTTTCAATAGCCAGAGGGACTTCTGGGGTTCAGAACATCATAAAATTGACCTTTATTGATTCATGGAGAGGTGTCATATTGCTCGTATGCGCTGCATTTCACTAGCGTTCTCTTGCCAAACTCATTGCTATCTTCATTTGGACTGTTTAACGACCCATAGTGGCTCAATCTCTATATGTCTAGTATTAGACCATCCTTTACTATGAGAATTACCTATCATAACAATTTTAAATGACGAGAAACAGTTAGTATCCAGCCAGAAACTGAGTTATATATGACTTACATTAGGAATGATGCTGGTTTTCTAATAACCCGCGATAATCTTCGCTAGTTAGAGAACTGACGAAGTTGGTACGTTCGCATAGTTGTAGAAGAGACTTCGCTCTATCATTCTAGAAGAGTGATGAGTTTTCTAGCGTCTAATTTTCACTCGAGGCTTATTTGAAATTCATAGTTACAAAAACTCTAATTTTTATAGTGCTATCATCTGCATCACCTCTCGCCACAGTAATGGTAAAGTATGTTGGGCGAGCACTAGTAAATTTCCCATTTGTCCATATCGCGAGCCAGAGTAGACCAATGGGTTCCGCTCACTGCTCATTGAGCACTACATCTTTCTTCTACGGTCTTCGTGAATCGCTGATCATCGTGTCGATGGTTTTCCTTCTTTGCGTTTGACATCATAAGGAATCCGGTTATTGGTTAACAGTGCTTGCGATACTCGTAGCATCGTCCTAGACACTTTGCGCTTCATGACGCTGGGTAATCTCATCGTCCTTACGTAGCGAATAGGTTTCTGACATGTAGAGTGAAGCAGGGAAAATCGTAGAATCGAGGATCTGGGGATTGAGTGGAGTGTTCTCTGTTCTCCTAAGTTCATCCCCGGCGCTCCTGAAACCTACCCAAACAGCTCTTTTCCTCCTGCCCAGTCCTGGAGCTATGTCGTTCATCATCTTCATTTCGTGACCTAGATTGACGTAACTGGTGCAATCGCAGATACTAATTCCGTTGAGCGTGAACCGGACATACAAAGCCAATCCTTTTTCATGAACATCGTTTTTGTGAGGTTTATTCGAAGACCAGTCTTTCCATAGGCCTTATCAAAATCGGCAAGCAGGCGTTCCACCTGGTTAATGCTTGGTGTTATAAAAACAATGTCATCAGTAAGGCGAACATAGTGTAATTGCCGACTATCGATTTTCACTCCCATGTTGTCCCATTTCAATATTCGCATGACGTTCAGAGGATGGTGCTAAATAAATTCTGGCAAGATGCTATCACCTCGGTGGACCGCTCTTTTGACGTCGATGTAAATACATTTGTAGAATGGTGATATTTCGGTTGTTGAGTTTCCATTAGCACACGAAGAATCTTTACATAGTGAGTAGGGACATCCAGACTGTCCCGGTTTCCCACGGATGTTTTTATCTCGACTTAGTTAAATGCTTTCCTTAAATCAATGAAAGTGAGACAGAGCGGTCCCGTACTCTTGACAGATCGTAAAATGTGGATGTTAATGAACCGACGAAATATAGGGTTTAGGATGGACCGCGGGACGACATATCCGTCCTCCTTTATTCCGTACGTTATTCCGTATTAGTCCGTATTTATTTATTATTACGTACATTTTATTTCATTGGTGAAGTGTTGAAGCAATAGTACGAGAGACCGCCCGTACAGGGCATGAGGACCTCGCTACTGAAGAGATCGGAGTAGTAATCGTGAATGATTTTCTCCACTACCTTTTTCGAAACTGTAACTCTTTCGTGGGGACGTCGGAATGCAATCACCTTTTTGTAATTGGAGGAGCCCATCGAAGCAAAGGGAATAGAGTTATTGATAGAGTCGATCGTATTCTTCGTCGATGTTATTAAGAACGTCCTCTTCCAAGCAGCCCAGTAATGAACTGAGCATATTCCAGATTATGGTAGTTTTCGGACTTGGAGTTTGAATTTGGTGACTTTTTCTTTCTAACGCGAGAAACGAGATCTTGCACAAAGGAGCCGATGGTCTTATTCCCTGTAGAGTTTTAGGACAACGGCGACATCGGTTGGGTAAAACCTTCGATTTACTAGGTTGTAGCCTATTTCGTTATGGTACTGTCCACTGGGAGACTCCCACGTTCAGTATTGATAGTGGTGCCTCCGGAATTGTGAATTTCCATTAATGGTTTTAGTAATCACAATAAACTTAGTCATCCCCCTCACCGTACTTGTTTCATTCTAATCGTGGGGTGCAATGTTACGTTTTCCATGCATTCTTCTGTTTCCAATTTTAGATTTAATATAACCAATGGTGGCCATCAAAAATTTATGGTCTTCTTAGGTAGAACTTCCCCAAGTCCATTAAGAGCACTTCGACTTCGCCATCTTCACAGCTCAGTGTCAT